CCAAAAACACAAACACAGAAGTCAGAAAGGTTGCTGCTTTCGGACTTTGGTTGAAGGGACTCCTGGGGGTGGTTTGCCTAATTCCTACCAGCAACGAAGTAGTGGGGGCAAATAACACTCTAAGGAGAGTGATCAAATCACGCCTTCAATCCGTTTCTCCATACTGTTTCCCTGACAATTTATTCAAAAAGAGTTGATCAGTAGTTACGTTTAGAAATGGAAGGAAAATTCTTACAAAAAAAAAAAAAAAAACAAAGAAATTGAAGGAAAACACGATGGAGGGGAGGGAGTAACGAGTCTACTCCAATCCAAACCCTCCAACAGTAAGCAAATAATATATGCACATTATTTATATATACGATGGTAAAACAAATTCTTTTCATTGTTGAATCGCTTCTTGATCGATTATTACTTATTTCTTTGTTTTATTTTGTATTTTGACTTGTAAGGTCCTTGTATATACTCGGTATATTGTTATTTTCCATTTTTGGATACCTTTGGCAAAAAATAAAAGGTGGAAAGTAGTGATAGCAACAGCGTGATAACGAGTAATTCAATATCCGTATTCGTCCCATATCAAGCATGGATCATTTATTGTAATATTCACATGGGTATGAATTGACAGGTCTTCCTATTTTTATATATTATTTGAAAAAGTTTTTTATTTTTTAATTATAAAATAAATAGAAAAATAGTTCATAAATTAAAATTAAAGATAATATGTAGATGAATTGAGTCGGCAAAGGTGAAATTTTGTACTTATTTAAAATATCATTAGATGAAAATATAAATTAAAATAAGGAAGAGTAAGAGAAAAAATTCGAAATAAATCAAGATAAAAAGTGTTAAGAAGGAAGCCGAACGAGGCTGGACAAAATAAAAATATTGCTCATGCTCAAATCCACACTACTACGTGTGGAATATTAACCCTCTAACACAAATATGATAAGATAATACTCGAAGAACGAATTCAAATTGCATCACTAATCAGAAAATTTATACTAATTAAGAAATACATTCAATAATATATTGTTGTATTATATGTTAATCAATCGATGGAGGAGAGAACTAAAGATGCCGATATGTGGGGGATAGATAGTGCCAGACAGAGATTAGAGAAGGTGCATGCATCTCCGCCTTATATTCCCGTTTTCATTTCTTCTTCTCAACGATATAATAAAAAATAGTTATAATATAATACTGCAACTGGATTGATTAACTAGCTTAACCCACCAGCTACCTTTGCTTCTCGTTGTCGTCGTCTTCCTTGCTCTCTTACGCCTCATTTGCTATTGTTAAAATCATCGTATTATTGTATTTTCATTGGGCGTGTGTGACAATAGATCGAACGGAAACAACATGGGAGCAGTTAGTATATATACTAACACCCAATTTGTAAGAATGATGCTAACTAATTAACGAGGAATACACGTGTCATTATAAAAAAATAAGGGAGCAAATGTGTGATATGGATTAATTTCGGGTCTCGTAACTTACCACAAATGTCATGCATGAAGCAAACCACAAACGATATATCAGAAACAAAATAAACCATACCACACCACAAATATCATAAAGTAGCACAAAAAATTTATAAGCGGACTAGAACCTCGCCGCACCACTAAAATTCGTAAAGCATACCATAAAACTCAAAGCAGACCACAAGCTCTCTGAAGCAGACCAGAACCTCGTAAAGTAGACCACAAATTCCTTGAAATAGACTACAAGATTATGAAAACAGACCACAAGTTTCTTAAAACAAGGTCTCCGAAGCAGACCAGAAACCTCATAAAGCATACTACAAGTTTATTAACGCATACCACAAATTTCTTGAAATATACTAGAAATCACATTAAGCAGAACACATGTTCCATGAAAGAAACCTCATTAAGCAGGCCACAAGTTTCTTAAAACAAACCAAAAAACTCATAAACTTGGACGTATTTGTAAAATTTAGAAATTTTAGGTATCCATGTAAGACATAAAACATTTTAGATACTAAAATGTACTTTTCCATCAATCTATTTAGGACATAATGAAAAAATTAGTTTTAGGTAATAAATCTTAAAATATACTAAGTTTAGGTAACAAATTGTATTAACATATGAAACCAGGAGGAGGGGGACTGGGGGAGGGAGCTTATATTGAGTGCGCAGTTACTACAATACCCTTAATGAATTATGTTATCATGATACTAATAGTCTAATACTAAGTGGTGTTAGCATCTTATCCTCGGTTCCGAAATAACACTAAAACTAAAAATAAATATATATTTATTTTATAATTTTAGAAAACCCGAAATTTTGAAAATGGATAAATTACAAGTTTGGTTACTAAGATTAATAATCTGTTTCACATTTACCACTTAAAACTTTTTATTCTATTTGTGGCTACTGAAATTAGTTCAGTAGTTCAAGTTTGGTCACTGGCCGTTACCTTCCGTCAGCCCAGTTAATGATTCAGTCTTTTGCTAATTGGACTAACAGAAACGCCTAGTCGCCTCATTTTAACCAGGAAAAATTATAACATAAAAAAGGAACCGAATAGGGTGCTAACACCACTAAGTGCGGGTCAAGTCGGGTAGTACTCGTGCGGGTACGAGCGAGATGAGTCGACCTATTCTTATGTTACTTTGAAAAAGAACATTGATATTTAACTCTTTTACAAGAAGACAAATAAAAAGTACTTCATATATGAATGAAAACATTGTAGAAAGATAATTGAGTCTAAGCAGTTGAAAATTGAGTCTTAAAATTTGTTTGGGATGAAAATATGATTCAAGAAAGGCCAACAGAGAATATACTAGATATTGATGCAAATCATGATGAATGGATCGGGAATGAGGTGAAACGAGACACGGGCAGGTCGGAAGCAATATCTATTCCACGCCCGACGCTACTGCGTGTTGGGTAATACCGACTCTAAACAGGCCAGGGCACACATATCAGATGAGAAATTGTCGTCACTGAGTTGCCTGCTATTATATTCACATGCATACCATTGTTTTAGAAACTCTATTGTACTGGCTGGACCGACAAAAAATTTCAGATACTAAACCTCAAACAACAAACAATTTTAATAATATAAAACAATTGATCCACGATTTTGATACAATTACTCTAGCACTAAATTTTTTGATAATTTGTGATTCGGTTTCACATCTATTTATTTCCAACTCTTTCTACTCTTTGACGGGCAGACAACCCATTTCATCCCTCCCCTCCTTCATTTTGTTTATGTATATCGTATAGTAAATGGTAAAGAATAATTATTAGCCAAATCATTTTCACATTTTTTATATATTAGTAAACCTATTGAATTATTAATAATTAGCCAAATATTCTGTAACGTATCAAAATATTAGTCATTTTTCTGTTACTTAACTAATTTTTTTTACTCTTTTCTTAGTTAAATACTAAAGTTTTGGAATGTTGAGTTTCATATATCTTTTTCAAGTTAGTATCATGTTGCCAAATCAATATTTCTAACAAAAATAGCTAACTAAAATTAATATTTGACTAATAAAAAAGAAGGGAGAAAATGTTTAGTTTTCACCCTAAAATATATATACATTTTTTTAATAATAAAAAACGAGGATAAAGTTGCTGGTTACGTTAATACATGTAAAACGTTTTAGACAAGTTGAAAAATAAACAAGTCGAGACTCATCGGTGGAGACTGGACTGGAGACATATTTGGAAAAAGGTATCCAAATCCAATTCAAGAATCTCCTCCTCCTCCGGCCCCCACTTCTGACGCGCTACTCGGCTCTATCGTCCGCAAAAATACATAATAATATAACAATGACTCAGCTGTCTGCCATTGAACACAACACGTCAATTATTATACCAATAGTTAACACGCTATGGCATTGGCATCTATCTGACTATCTCTCTATTTTTTCCCCAAGTGCAAACAAGACTTTTTATTTACCTCTCCAGTACGATAATAAGCATTCAATTCTCAACATCTAATTATTACTTGCGTCACTAGCTGCCTTATTTTAATCATCCTAACCAACTTGCTTGCTTGTGTTAGCCCTAGCTAACATGATTACGCGACAAATGACTCTCAACTTGTGCGATGACCAATATTACATACCAAGTGGAGTGTGGGGTTGGTATGCGTCAGATTTTTAACTTAACCTTCAACTAGGTCTAATAGTAGTCAAATTGATTATTATTCAGGGAGAGGGCCGCCATTAAGCCAAGCCCACCACCCACCTTCAGCAACCGTTGGGCTTCTATATCCCTATTAATAGTGTTCCTATCCTATTAAGAGTCTCAATTAGCCCAGCCCACATATCCCCAGCATCATAGTCCGCAGGCCCATTTCGAGTGACACCAACTGACCATGCAAGATGCAACTGAAGCAAGCAACCCGTATGGATCTTGTCTCTAAATTAGGCGAGCGTGCTTAGCAATATTCAATCACAGCACCAGGCCGGCAGCAGCAGCATCACCACATGCAATGCTCTGCACCATGTAGTTGAATTCCAGAACCATGACACACTTCTTCCAGCTTCGCCATAAATAGCAATTTCGGATCAATCCATCCTCATTCCCTGCAACTGCTGCAAATCTGCCATACATTACATATATATCACCACAACTCAACTACTACAACATTACCAAAGAGGGAGACATCTTTGCATTGCAGCTATCAAACCCCAAACTTACCTCACCTACAATACAAACCATTCCCCTTTCTCCTCTTATCCACATCACGCTTTTCATACAACAATATTACACTACATCAGAACCTCCTTCCTCAAACTTCGTTTCCCATATCTTCTTACATATACAGTCACAGACATACACATTGCATCCACTCAAAGAGCCAGAGAGCTCAACCAGCTGCCAGCCATAGAGATAATGGCTTCTTTTTATATATCTCTTCCCGCATGCATACGCCTCCAAGTTCCAAAATTTCGTCCTGAGGAACGTGGGAAGCTTAACCTTCCCTTGCCAGTTTGTGATCTCATTTAGTAAGAAGTAATACTACAGAGGCTGCTGCAATGTGACCACAATGGGGCTGGTCACATTGTGCTTCCCATCACTCCACACTATGAACCCACTCTTCATCACAGATCCACCCGGCGCCAGCTTCGCCACCCTCGTCTGCACCCTCACCAGGAAGTTCAGCTTCTGCCCGGCCCTCCTGAACACCAGCTTCTCCGGCTTCACCGTTGCCACCATCCCAGCAGGAGCCACCACCCTAGCACTGTAAACCGACTCGCCATCCCCAACGTTGGTCACCGTCCTGATGAAATGGGTCGACATCTTCTGCTTGATCCCGTACTGCTGGAACACAACCGCCATCGACGGGTAGTTCAGGTTCCCCGAATGTCCAGCCCTCCTCGCTCCACTGCAATCCGCGTTCTTCCTCGTCACCACCTTGATGTTCTGCTCCGTGTAGTTGGAGTTGCAGAGGAAATCGACGTAGTCGAACGTTGTCAGGTCGTATACCAGCCCCGGGTCCATGGCTTTTTGAGGGTGGACGTGACCTGACCCGAAATCCATGACAGTCGATGAGTTCCCCGTCGATTCGTCCAGCATTGTTTTGCCTCGGTTGTCAACAGTGTAGGCTGTGGTCATGAAAGCTGATTTGATTGCTGCAGGGCTCCACTCAGGGTGAGCTGCTTTCAGCAATGCTGCTAACCCAGAGACGTGAGGGCAAGCCATGGATGTTCCAGAGAGAATGTTGAACTCGGTTGTGCGGTGGTCCGATGGGATCCCTGAAGGGGAAACTTTGTCCGGCCAAGCGGCGAGGATGTTTAACCCAGGAGCTACAAGATCGGGTTTTAGGATTTCAGGTGATTCAGGGTTTGGGCCTCTGGCTGAGAAGGAAGCTACGACGGGTGCTGGTTTGACACCCAGCCGAGTTCCTTTAAACACAATGGTGGCAGTCGGCGGCGGGGAATTGGGTTTAGCGGAAGAGATGTACCTCCTGATTTCTTCGCCGCTGGTTGCACCGACGGCTGTGGCGGGGAGAACGTGGCAATCGGCGACCAATCCTTCCCCGTCGAACACTCCATTAGCTAAAATCATCCCAATCCCTCCAGCTTTCTTCACCACCTCGCCTTTGGCAGCTCTGGAATTGATTCCTCGGTCGCACATTACGATTTTCCCAGCGACGAATTTGGGATCCAGCGAGCCTTCCAAGCACAACGAGCTCGAGTAGCCATCTCCAGCTTGAGTTCCAGCGTAAACCAAGGGGTAAGTCTTCCCCGGAGCAAGCCCCGGCCCTGAGTAAACGCTCATTCCTGGTATCACCTTCCCGTTCCCCAATTTCACATCGGCGGGAAAATCTCGATCTAGGGTTCCGGCACCGACGGTGGTAACCCAGGGAGCAACGTTTGTTACAGTGAGAGCACCTGGCCCGCCGTTCCCAGCCGAAGCCGACACGAAAATCCCGCGGTCCATGGCCCCGAATGCGCCAATTGCAATGGCGTCGAGGTAGTACGGAACAACAACCCCGCCGACGCTGAGCGAAATCACGTCGACGCCGTCCGCAACCGCCGCGTCGAACGCGGCGAGGATGTCGGAATCATAGCACCCAGCGGTCCAGCATACTTTATACACGGCGAGCCTAGCTTTGGGAGCCATCCCGGCGGCGAGCCCCCTGGCGTAGCCGAGAGTCGAGGCAGGGTAAACGTAACGGCCGGCGGCAATCGAGGCCGTATGCGTGCCGTGACCGTCGGAATCGCGAGGGGAGCGGAACTCGGAGGTCTGATTCATCTTCCCGTTGGTGGCCTCGTAACCCGCGCAGAAGAATTTGGCGCCGACGAGCTTCCGATTGCAGGAGGAGGAAGGGAAATCGGGGGTGTTGACGCAGGAGCCCTTCCATTTGGTGGGGACCGGAGGGAGGTCGCGGTCGTGGAAGCTCTGTCGGTCCGGGGAGATCCCGGTGTCGAGGACGGCGACGACGAGGTCGGAGCCGAAGTCGGAGTCCTTGAGGAGGCCGGCGGAGTCGGTGGAGGTGCCGAGGCCGAGGAAGTGTGGGGAGCGGGTGGTGTGGAGGCGGCGGAGGCGGTCGGGGAGGAGGGAGAGGACGTGGGGCTGGGCGCGGAGGAGGAGGGCCTGGGTCGGGGAGAGCTTGACGGAGAAGCCGTGGAAGGCGGCGCCGGTGTAGGTGTGGATTAGGAGCGGAGGGGAAGGGGAGAGTAAAGAGGAGAGGGAGGATTGGTACCAGTGGGAATGCGTGGGGAAGATGGAGGGTTTGACGGCGTCGGGGTGGACGCTGACGATGTAGGTCGACGGGGTGTCGTTGATGGAGGAGGGGGAAATTGGAGAGGGGAGGATTGCGAAGAGAAGGATTTGGAGGAGAAACAGAGGAGACGGCGACGCCATTTTTGAAGTAAGAGCTTCGATTTTTTGGTTTAATTTGGAAAAATGGTGGAAGAGTCAAGAGTGAGGGAGGGAATGAGTGACAGAGTGACAGTGGAAGCTTTGAAGAGGGAGGAGGGGAAAGTGGGGGGGATTTTTGGGGCGGGGAGTTTTGCTTTTTGGCTTCTGTTTTCCACTTTTTTTTGTCTGTTTGTTTTGTTTTCCCTCCCTTTTTTTAATTTTGGTAATTGCTTTTTCCGTTTTTCGGTTTGGGTTTTGTTATTATAATATTTTGATTGGTTGTGGGAAAGAGGGACTGGGCGGTGGGCACAGAGAGGAGAGTTACAGGTGGAAGGAGGTGAAAAAATGGGGAATGGTACAGTTTCTGTCCGTGTGTCCACAGCAAAATCCCAAGAAAAAGTAAGGAATTTCTCCATGGAAGGGGGTAATTCAATACTAGCGGGCTTGGGCCCACTGCGAAAGGCCGAATAGGGGAGATGCGGGCTTTAGTAATGGCAGATGGGCCGAGCTCGATTGATTAGCATTCGGGTTTGGGGTCCAGCTCAAACGGGTGGGAAGGTGGACAGCGCATTGTTTCTATTTCTATTCTATTCCTTGTCCTCCCTTTTTCTAGTATTGTTGGTTTTGCTTGTCTTGTCGTGCTTTCTTCCTTTCGTGAGGAAGAAAGAATATATGGGTTGGGGAGATGATGGATCGAAGTGGGTGAAAAAGGGTTGAATTGAACAAATACATATTATTGTTGAGGAATTTTATAATACTATATAGTATTGGTGTTATAGGTTTTTTTCTTTATGGTACAATTTGAAATGGTACCTTTAAAGTTATGGTACAACTTCAAATTGTACCTATACTTTTTGTACAAATTCTTTTATGGTACAACTTGAACGTGTACCTTTATGTGATGGTACAATTTTAAGTTGTATAGTTGTACCATAACATAATGATACGAATTCTTTTATGATACAACCTAAACTTATACATTTAATGTTATGGTACAAGTTCAAGTTGTACATTAAAGCACCAATACTATATAGCATAATAGTAATGCTCATTATTGTTGGTGTTAGATTAGACCTAGTAACAGCAGGCCAGCAGAGAGAGTGGAGTGGGTGAGTGTGACAAATATCCACCAAGCCGACATAATGAATGCCATCCATCCCTTTGCTGGGCCATAAACACGTACCCAATTCCCTCTCTTTTCTGTTTGAATCCAAGTTGACCTACTTACTTAAGTTGCCAAACAACAATTTACTACTACCCAACAGCCAATTAATACATATGTGATCCAAGTTGCATTTCGAATTTTAATGATACAGAACACTGAACATGTTGTCAACTGTGGTACGTAGTTGTTGTGCAGTCATAACTTAAGATCGAATTAGAATGGGATACATATTCCTTAAGATACGAGATTAATGGACGACTTCCTTCCTTCAGTATACTGAACAATATACCACAATTCATATATTCTCTTCTATCGATGATGATTAAGCCGTGACAACGGCTAACTAACTGATAGCGCAGTTCAGTTTTAATTACCAACAATATGGTAGAAAGAATGGGAATATAATGGTGGGTGGAGTAGCTTATACTTATAGCCAGAAGAAGACAATAATTGCAATTACCTTGGGGTATAACGTGCATGCGTCCTTCCTTTCACGTGCACGTGTAGAGCTAGTTAATTAGGCAAATCTAATTTAGATTTGTAGATGATTATATGCTTAATTGAACCCTACTTAATTGGGGTACTTAATTAATTGATTAAACTAGAGTAGTAGTGTAGAGTAGATCGAGTAAGTTCGTGTACTGTGAATTTTAGGAAGTGGGATAGAACTAATGGTCCCATCCAAGCATTTTGCGACTAATCGAAGCTATGGCGCTACATAATAATGTCAAAAAGACAAAGAACGACAAAGCCCACAAACTAAAACAGATCGAGACCCCCACTCTTCCTTCCTTTCTGCTGGTCGTAAAGGAGATCGGTTCAAAACTAACGGAAGACTCGAGCTGTCTTCCACACACAAACACACACCTTGATCGACACTTTAATTTAAGTATATATCATCATTGACCACTAGCCACAAGTCATCATGATTAAGCCACCCATATGGCATATGCCATATAATTTCATGCATTCTATAACTAGTTTGAATATTCTAATTCTTTGGCCAAAGTAAAGTAAATTATTAATAAAATCCAACTATAAAAGGAGGTAGGGTTGTAAAACCGTGCAAAAAGTCGTATCGGGAAAGCCTACGTAGGTTATTCTATGGTGAGAATTGCGGTTTAACAATTTCATACCGATAAATCGCCTTCCAATTGTTAGAGTTTCGATAGATGATTTTATGGTCAGACATCCCGTTGCAGAATGGTTTTGCAAACATAGACTTAAGGCATGTGTTGGGTTTCCTCCCTATTGCCTAGCATATCTAGGCACTGCCTAGATGTTTGAATAAAAAAAATATATTTTTTAGTAAAAATAATAAATTTTTAGCATATTTTTACTTAAATTCAAATAATTAATAATCAGAAATCATCCAAAAAAACAAGCAAAATATGTCATAAATATCTAGAAACACAGTGTACGCAATCACAAATTCATAGAAAGTTAGAAATAAGCTAAAAAAACAACAAGTTGATAGCATAAGGGGAACTTAAAACAACTTCAATCATCATCATCCAAATAAGTCCATATAGAATACAACTACCACTTCATCATCCTTCAAATTAATCTCCTCCACGCTTCTCATCGGACTCGAAATGAATGAGCAAGGGGATGAGAAACAACTTTCAAAATAAGAAATTGTGATTTGTATTCCAAATTGAGAGAATGACCACTGAAGGACACACATCGCATGGAAGCTTGAGAAGGAAACCGGCTTTCTTCTTCCCTTGAACCTCGACTACGCTTACGCACGTCTTCTATTGCCTAATTGCGCCTACATACGCTTTATCATGATTTGGCATCACCTATACCATTTTAAGCATTATAAATGCGTCATGTGTTGTCTAGGGCCCATACGAGATATATATGTTTTCGTTACCTAACGTCTATGCGTGCCTAAATGTTTGCAAAATTACACTTCTTCAACTTTGACTAAAAACTGTAGTGGACCTGCACCTCTAAACATATGCGGCGGAGTGAGTGAATTACAACTTTGAGTAGAATTGTAGTGGACCTGATCTTCCCATTGAGACCACTTAGTTTAGCGGCGGCCTGGGTTTGCTGAGGCCCAAAATTAAGTATGGGCTTTCTCACATTGGAAGAAGCTACGGAGAAAATCTTTTCCTCTGTCCTTTCTTTTCCTTCTCCCTCAAAGCCAAAGAAAACATTCCTTTTATTGGTAAAAACAGTTACCATATCATGCATGGAAGAAGCTACGTACGTACGTACAATTAACTTCACCACCACGGCCGTCGGATTCACAACTTTTCTTTCCTTGTTTGCATCATCATCCTTCTGAAATCAGGACAATCTAATCATATCAAATCAAACCCTAATTAAACTGAACTTCCATATTATCACACATACGTACGGAAAAAAAGAACTCCCTATAAAGAAAGAAAAACCCTAGTTTACCTCCCGTCCTCCATTTTCCATTCATCCCTATATATAATACCTAGCTAGAGGAGGAGCAAGCGAAGGATCAAGCTACCAAGATGAAAAGCGCAACGACGGGGAAGAAGAAGAAGAAGCAGCAGGCGACGGCGACGACGAAGAACCTGATGAAGAAGGCGAGCAAAGGGAGGCAGAAGATCGAGATCAAGAAGGTGGAGAACGACCCCCACCGCCACGTCACCTTCTCGAAGCGGAAGAACGGCCTCTTCAAGAAGGCGACGGAGCTCTCCACCCTCTGCGGGTCCCAGCTGGCCGTCATCCTCTTCTCCCAGCACCACAAGGTCTTCTCCTGCGGCCGCCCCGACGTCGACTCCGTCCTCCGCCGCTTCGAGCTCCACCACGCTCGCCGACGTGGCGGCCCACTGCTCAACCCCACTCCCCCTCATCCTCATCTTCTTCACCATGATGCTATTAACAACATTAACAATAACAACGTGATTAGCGGTAATGATCATGGTTTGGGGATTAGCGTGCAAGAGCAGGAGTACGTGAAGTCGGTGGAGAGGCTGGAGGAAGCGAAGAGGCTGGTCAGCGAGTTGACCAACTTTCTCGGTCATAATAAAAAGAAGGATGGTCGTGGAGTGGGTCCCGTGCCAGCGGCCTACGTGGCGGAATCGGCGGCGGGGGGAGGGTTTTGGTGGGACAGGTGGAGGGTGGAGGGGATGGAGGAGAAGGAGGAGGTGCAGTGTTACAAGGAGGCTGTAACGGAGCTGAAGAGCAGAGTGATGGCGAGGATTGACGCAATGGCGGCTCGCAACTCGGCGGCGGAGTCGGGGATTATTACGGATTTTATTCTGAATAATAATCACTTTAATCATGGTCATCTTCAGCACGTTAATAATGAAGTCATCAGCGGCGGCGTGGTGGATGTGAATCCTGCTATCTCCATCTCCATATCGTCTCCTTCCTCGTGATTAATTAGTTGTTTATGCATGGTTATTATCCAGTATTATTAATCAACGATCTTTTGTTTGCAGTTAGTTTTATTGGAGCACTCTGAGCAGATTTTCACTGCCTAGGGCTATGATACTCGATTGTTTATATAGTACGGCTTAATTCGATCTCAACATGGGGTGCTTTTGGGTCTCCTTAAATTGAGGCGACTTTCTTTTGCAATAAGCGTGTGTATGTATGTATATAGGTGAAGCTGACACTATAGTACTAATTATAGCATATTAACCTTTACATTTGGTGATATTGATCATACATGCATGTGCATATATCTAGCTAGGGAACTAATGCAAAGATTGTTGCATAAATCATGAGTTACCGGAATTTGTAAATGATATAGGAGAGAATATAGATAGATAATCAGGGAGCTGGTTGGAGTCGGAGGTTCACATTTACAAGCCGTTGATGATGGAGTGGGCGGTTGTAGACTGGTAGTACCGTGAGATGGGATTTTCCCCCTAGAATGCAGCCATCATGCATCTTGATGGTTGCTTGTTGTGGAGAGGCAACTAACGGCGTAGCTAGGTTGAAGTCAGGACGGTGTATAGCCTCTCAACTTTGAAATATATATGAGATTACACATATAAAATTCGAAAAAAGTTTGAAAAAAGAGCATGCAGTTGATAAGATTACATATAAAATCGATAGTATGTTATATGAAGTTTTATAAACTTGATCGGTCAAATATAGCGAGGGGTCGTTTGGTGAGAGTGAATTCTTACCGCCTAATTTGTGCAGCAGCAAATAATAATATGTATAAGTCTGATGTTGTTTTTTTTTGCTTACATTAAAATAAATTAGTTACTGATCTCCCTAAAAACATGCCAATCACGAATTAAGAGCTGACCAATCTATAGCAGCCCATTGTGGTGGTTGTTTTCTTTCCAGTTTGGGAGAAGGCACCCAGCAGACATCTTAATTACAAGGCTGTCCAGTTTGTGCATAAAAAGTACTAATATAATATAGGCTCGCTCGTAACTATCCTAATAAAGGAAATCAACCAACAAACTCCATTAATTACATGTATTGTACATCTCTAGCTAGCTTGCGAACTAGACTGTCACACAAAACATGAATTGCGGGCCGGGTGGTTGATTAAATAGATAGATAGATGCGTAAATTAATTAGCGAGCTAGCTGGCGTCGGCGGTTCATGTATCCAAGGCGTTGGTGGGGAGGAAGAGGGAGGGGACGGTTATAGTAGTACTGTACTGGTACAGGCCGACGCCGTGGAATGTCGCTGCTGCTCATAGTATTAGTTTTAGCACTAATATTACCGTCGCTGCTGCAGATCTGGAGCAGGGGCGCTGCCTTGAGCTGCCTCCGTCGGCGGCTGGAATTGTAAGAGTTGCTGAGGTGGAATATGAGATTGGATTCCTCGGCCTCCTTGATCTCGTCCAGCTTCACCTGCTTGTCCCTGCACTGCCTGCTGCAAAAACCTTGGTCACCCCTGTACATGTACACGTCCTCTCTAGAGCTCAACTTGGTGCTGCAGAAATTGCACGACTGCAGCAAGTGACGGCCATCATCGGGACTACTAGGAGATGATGACGACGATGGAAGGGGAGGCGGAAGGATTGCAGTTATGGGTTTCGTGATGACATGATCATGAACTTGGTGGTGGCCGGATGTTAGGAGAAAGGAAGCAGCAGCGGTGTCGGCGAGGAGAAGCGCTTGCAGTCCAACTACGCTGCTCCGGTGGAACGGTGTCATCGTCATCTTCAGACTCATTACTAGCTAGCTAGCTCGCTCGCACAAATTATACGTACTGAAGAAAGAATAGATGGATGTCAAGAGTGAAGGGAGGGAGATGAGATGTGTGTGTGGTTGATTGATCTGGCGGGGCTATCTATAGCTGCTACACTATATAGTCTCTTCGCGGGCAGGGCACTATGAGTAATTGAGCAAAAGAAAAATGTGAAAGAGATGCGTACGGGGAGATGAATAATAATAATAATATCTTATTGTTGATCATTATTAGGAAGGATAGGATTCCAAGGCCGGTCATCTCCACATATGTACCAATCACCAAGACCCCACTAACAAGGAAAAAGAAAGAAAGGCATATGTAATGTAGGAGGTGATTTGATATGGCGTTGAAGAAATATCCAATGCAATTCACGTGGTTACTATCGCAACGTTGTTGTTTAGAGAAAAAGACACCCGAATATAGTTCATACTTTATTTTTACAAGCAACGCGTTGGACCTAGCTCGCTCTCTCTCTCTCTCTCTCTCTCTCTCTCTCTCTCTCTCTCTCTCTCTCTCTCTCTCTCTCTCTCTCTCTCTCTCTCTCTCTCTCACAGTGAGTCAGTGTGGTAATAAAAGTTGATATGACTAGCTTATTTATATATATGTGACCCACTCACTCATAGTAAGTCTTACCCTCTGCATTATTGCTAGTTTGGTACTGCCAGCGACCATGCACGCGCCATGCCAAAGCAAATTTACCTAATCAAACTTTTCAATCACAGAATCACTGCACTATAGCCCTGCTAGTGCACAAACGTGAATGTTGTGTTTGCTTTGTACAACCCGGTTATGGTGTTTACCACTGTCTTGTCTTGTCTTGTGAGAATGTGCTCGTTACTATCGTTCCCATTTTTTTTTTTTTTACAAAGGGATCACTTGCATTGCACTTTGTAAGATCGATTACAAGAGAAATCAAAGAGGTAACCAGAACTAGAGCAGGAGTAAACATCTCCAAGCAAGAGTTGAAACAAACAGTGTTTCAAAGATAAAAAAAGGACAGCACCGAACACCAAATGAACCACCTCTACATTGGGTATGAAACACTTGATCCACAACCAGCAAACACACAAATCTCTCTTGCAACCAAACCAAACAAAGTAGCACCAAGCACAATCAGCTCGTCCGATCCGATCGAAACCATGGCTATTGAACACAGCAATGCCATAAGCCGCCTCCTGGGAGTCGCTCGAAGACGCTCAACACAGTGAATCTCAGATGTGGGATTACATGGCGGTGGCCAGGAAAGAGAATCAGATTGCTCCGAGCTGAAGAAGCAGAGGGAGCCAAGGAACCAAATCTTGGTGAAGGCGAGCAGGCCCACACCCCAAAATCCAAGAACAGTCACCATAGCCAACCGGATCAGACTCCGTCATCTACCCAACGACGAGGACAAAGAGGTAGATCTAAACCACCAGCAGAAGTCAAAGGGGGAAAACGGTGAATGGATTCACCAAAAGAAAGATAAATCCACCATCAAGAGGGACATCCACCACACAAAGTCTGGTAGAGACGCCAATGATGTAAAATCCAGCCCCAAGGAGAGCAAACCCAGAAACAAGAACCCTAGAACAGAGAACAATGAAAAGCCACAAAGGCAGGAAAAGCTGACAAAGCTGGAAAATCCGATGGAAAAATGCCTAAAACAAAGGCAAGAGAGCTTGAAAGGAACCATGAAAAAAGAAGGATCAATGGGCTATGTCACGGACATAGACTTCACATTTCGGGTCGTGACAGCTACCGCCGGTCACCAAAAGGTGCCGGCGGCAACCCCTGGGAAGGCGGACTGGAGAGTTGGGGAAGAGAGAGGGCAGAGAAAAACTTTTGAATTAAAGTAAGAGAGAGGGGAATTTTTAGTAGGTAGGGTTTGTTTGGTTTCAATCCCTATCGTTCCCATTCAATAGTCAAGAATTGACAGTACTTGTGACTTGTGAGTACGTTCTCACAAGATGTTCGTAGGCACAATTAACTTTTTTGTCTTTGGTTTACATGAGCAACAAGTTTCAAAAGCGAATATGCAATCGTTCATGAATGATTGTCTAGTACGATAGGTTTAAAGATATTATTTGATCAATGTAGACATTCGCGTAGACAGGATTCGAGTTTAGTGGGATCTCATTTACGAAAAAATCATATAACATTGTATTCAATTATTAAGTAAATTTTCTTTAAAAAATTCAGTCAAGTAGTCATTAATCAAACCATTAGTTATTAGATTTGTACATTGCATTTTATGTAACTCATAATTGAAAACTGACAATTCAATAATAACTAGTTAAAATAAATAGTCCCAAGCAAAATCTAATACACATAAACATTTTATAAAACACATTTGATGACAAAGAAATTATATATTGATAGGAAAATTTGTTGAACTAAGAATTTTTTAGATATAGCTGGAGGTTTTGTACACATATTTAGTAGAATTAGAAATTTTTAGAATAAGGACTATAAAATTTGGGATTTTTAATGATATATGACCAATATAGTCTAATTTATTTGTGTGTTTCATAATACTAGGACAATTAAATTTCATATGAATGGAGTTCTGAATTCTAAATCTACCCAAATTAAACAAATATGTACATACATTTAACCATTTTAATTTATCCAAGTGGGGTCTTAGGACCACACTCCCTTCCACCTCCCTCCGCCACTGAATATAGACATGAGTATTTTATAATTTTTCAAAAAAATTAAACCAAGTTGTGGTATTTTGTTGTGATTTGTACTAGTCATGTATTTTCTTATTTGAGATTTTTCATTTTTTTAATTTAATATTTAGAACAGAACGCCCCTAGATAAAATTTATATGGGTCAGCCACTATGTGCAATCAAAACACTTTTCAAATCTCCTGTGAAACTTCAATGAATCATATCTCTCTCTTTCGTTTGACATCAAGTATCAAAATGTTTTTTCGGTTATTGATCTCAAAATGTTTTACATACAAAAATTAGAATCTTTGTGTTATGCAACTTGATATTCAGTTTGATATTTTTAGCTAATTTTTTCATGTCTTCTTACCACTGACATATCGTGAAATTAGCATTATGATAATATCATGATATGACAGTGGTATGCGAATTTTATAATTCTTACCATAGTGGTAAGACTATGGTATGATAGTGGTAAGATGTTATTATAAATCTTACCATCTTGGTAAAATAATATGAAATTTTATCTTTGACCAATACATTTTAAATGTCATCATTCCACTATCATATATTGATGATATAATAGTGGTATGAATTTTTTTCAGTCTTACTATAGTTGTAAGATCATGATATGATAGTGTAATTTTTTCACCCCCTCAAATTATAGCAAAATGGACATGGTTGTTAAGCCGATGGTATGACGTCGTTTCAACCAACATCGAATGCAAACTGGATGGAATACCCTTGACATGAGGTAATACTAATAGTCAATACCGATCAAACCAGTTAATACTAGAATAATCAGTGACCAACCAATATGACCAATTTACAATCCCTTAACATAATAACGGTGTTTTAGTGAATTTAAGTAACAAAAATATGTTTTTATAATATGATAATGTATCATTTTACTTGTAATGTTGTATTTTATTTAAATATGAATGTTGATGTTATTTGTTGGATTCAAGTATAAATGTTTGGATGTTGACATTAATATTAAGTTTAAATATGACGATTTGATATTTTTGTTTGTAATGTTGTATTTTGTATAAATATGAATGTGAACGCAGGCGTATAGCGTACGACTGACGTACGCTAGCCTTTGCCATATATATGCATTATGTTATTAATTTCCCACTTTTTCTATATATTTTGTTAAAACATGCATAAATCCACATATACCGGCTGGAACCTCAGTGGGACCATACCACTTACTAAACCAACATAACAGTATAAATCGGTCGGACACTCTTGAAAAGGATTCGAAAATTACTAAGTCGATGCTCGTGGTCTCTTATTGTTAATTTTGAGGTATGGATGACAAACTTATGAACAACTCTAGAACTTGGTTTTCTATAATTTAATTAATAAATAGGGTCTTGTATCTGACGGTTTTACTCTTGGGTGTCCTCCCCAAAAGGCCTCGTACTAATTGAGCTAGGTGGACACTAATATACAAACTAAGGGTCCCTTCCCTTGTATTACCGATGTGGTACTTGGATTGTCCCATAACAATCCTCCCCTCACGATAAGGACCACGAACTTCGTGTCCTCTCTCCAGCAATTATCTTGATCTGCCAGACCAGATGTAGATCACCTATGATCTACCAGACAAACGCGCACCTCTCTGATATATGCCAAACACCTTGTATCGCTGGCCTTCTAGGTACAAGGATTCTTCTAGATGCGGAACTCTCTTTGATCCACCAAACAGACGTAAATCTCAATCACCAAATGAGGATCTCATCAAACTGATCTCCACCGTCCTGGATCCAAACCAGGTTGTACGATATTGTTCGCTTTGGGTCAAACCCGCACAGTTTTACTCTTGGGTATCCTCCCCAAAAGGCCTCGTACTAATTGGGCTAGGTGGACAGTAATATACAAGGGCCCTTTCTCTTGTATTACCGATGTGGTACTTGGATTGTCCTATAACAATCCTCCCCTCAAGACAAGGACCACAAACTTAGTTTCCTCTCCTCATTAGTTATCTTGATCTGCCAGACCAGATGTAGATCACCTTTGATCTACCAGACAAACGGGAACCTCCCTTGAT